AGGTGTCATTCCAAGGGACCATGGGGTTGCTGTCCCCACTGGCCATGGCTGTGTGGGGGAACTCTGGGCACAGGGAAGCTCTGGGATCCTTCAGGGAAGGCCCTGAGCTAGTGCTGGGGTCGCTGAGCTGCTCTGGGCTCAGGGAAGCTCTGGGATCCCTCAGAGAAGGCCCTGAGCTGATGCTGGGGTGGCTGAGCTGCTCCTGAGGTGGCTGAGCTGCTCTGGGCTCAGGGAAACTCTGGGATCCCTCAGGGAAGGCCCTGAGCTGATGCTGGGATGGCTGAGCTGCTCTGGGATCCCTCAGAGAAGGCCCTGAGCTGATGCTGGGATGGCTGAGCTGCTTTGGGATCCCTCAGGGAAGGCCCTGAGCTGATGCTGGGATGGCTGAGCTGTTCTGGGATCCCTCAGGGAAGGCCCTGAGCTGATGCTGGGGTGGCTGAGCTGCTCTGGGATCCCTCAGGGTAGGCCCTGAGCTGATGCTGGGGTGGCCGAGCTGCCCCTGGGCTCCATCTGCATTCTGGATGCTGCTGAGCTTGGGCTGGACTCGCTGCCTGGTGCCAGGCAGAGTTCCCAGGCTGCTGCCCCCTCTCCCACATCCTTACTTGTGGGGCTTTTGTGTGTCCCCCCCAGCCAGGACGCCGTGCAAATCTCCGTGAAAAGCTTTGCAAAACTCCTGTAGGACAGGAGAGAAGCTGAAAGCTCAGCTCTGGGTTTTCCTCACCTTCACCCTGCCTTTTCCTGCTCACATTTGAGCAGTCCAGGCTGCTCCCCAGCTTGTCCTGGTGTGTTTATGCAGGGAGTCCAGGAGTGATTCTGCTGCGAGGTCACACGGCCTCGTGTTCAAGAACGGGAAACTGGCTCTGTTATTTTATTTTTTATTTTTTTCTCAGTATCTGTTCTTAATTTCCTTGCCTCGAGTCAGCAGTTTGAATCAGCTCCTCTCTCTCTCCCCATGCTGTTGTGAGGGAGTTTGGGCAGGGCAGGATGGAGGATTTGGGAATGGATCCTTGGTCCCTGAGGGCACTGGGAGTCACCAGGAGCCACTGCTGGGTGCAGCACCAGGGATTTCCAGCAGTCCCTGCAAAAACACTGCTGGGCTGGCTGCTCCCAGGGCTCTCTGCTTCATCTCTTCAAGAGGAAAAGAAAGAAAAAAAATAATTAAATCTCTGGCTGCCCTTTCCAGATTCTCACTGGCTCCTCACCCCTCTGTCCCCGTGACTGCCGTGGCTCTGCTGGGTCTGAGCTGGCTCTGCAGCCTCCAGGAGCTCCCTCCTGCCCACGAGGGATGTCCTGGATCCCCCTGGCTCTCAGAGTGTTCCCCTGGGCTGCTCTGACAGCTCTGCTGTGCTTGGCCAGCTGCCACCTGCATTTCTTGCAGCAAGCTGTCATTTCCTGACGCTTCCCTTCCCTTCCAAAGGTTTTCAGCCCCATTTTCCACGGGCTGTTCTCCCTCTGACAGAGGTGCTGGGCAGGGGACAGCAGTGACAGATGCTGGGTGGTGATGGAGGGCACCAAGGGAAGGCTGCAGGATCCCCTGGGCCTTTTTTCCATGTTATATTTCCATTTAGGGCATTTTGTGTGACCAAGGAGAGCCTTGGGCAGTGCTTGGTGATCCTGATGTCACACTGCTCAATGGGTCACTTTTAAGTACTTAATTTGTCACCATTTCCTTGTGCTGTAGGGATCCCAAGGAGTTTGGGAGCCCAATTCCAGTGGAGTCTGCTGAACTCCACTTCTGCATGTCCAAGTTTCCATTTTCTGTGAGGGATCTGTTCCATCTCTGCCCTCCCAGGGATGGGAGCACAGAGAGGGTTTGGTGCTCATGAGAAACGCTCCTCTGAGCTGGCATTAAACCAGATCCACCTCAGAAATTGCCCCTGTGCCTTCTGTGCCTGCCAGCACGGAGGTTTCCAGGGCTGGGAGGAGGGCAGGGTGTTCCTTTCCACAGGGAGGGAGGGAGAGCAGCCTCCATTCCTGGGTTCCACTGACTCAGCTCCTTCCCTTCCCTGCTCACACCCCCCAGCTGGCCCAGGAAGGGCTGAAGGTGATTTTTGGGTATTTGGATATTTGGATTTTTGGATATTTGGGTATTTGAATATTTGGACTTTTGGAATTTGGATACCTCAGCTGTTGGTTTTGGCCAGGGGCCCAGCCCAAGCCCCTGTGGATCCAGCCTCAGGAATCCCTGGAGAGGATCCAAGTGCCAGCCCCATCCCTGTGGGGGCACAGCCCTGGGGGATCCCTTCTATTCTCCTCTCCATGGAAAAGCCCTGCAGGTGGTTCCTCAGTGAAAAAGACCCATGGAATAACTGCTTGCACATATCCTGGGCTGGGAAAAAGCCTCGTCTCGGGGCAGCTGATGGGATGGCTCCTACTGGCACAAAATTTGGGTCATTTGGGTTATTTGGGTTGCTGCTTCATGGTGGCTGCTCCTGGCAGGACATGGGGCAGTGCCAGGCCAGGAGGGGAAACTTCAGAGCAAGGGCAGTGGTTTTAAAGCTGTTTTGGTTGTTGAAAGTGCCTTCCAAAAGCACTGCGGAAGGGATTTTGGGTCTGTGGGAGCTCAGTGCCTCATGTGCAGTAGAAATGCTCACTGGGTGAGTACAGTGTTCAAACCTTCCCAAACCTGCACTTGTTAGGTGAGGGGAGCACCAGGGTTGTGTTTTCTGGTGGATTTTTTATTTCTGAGACAGCAGGGACTGGATTAGATGTTGGGAGAGACCAAGACCTGGGATGGGCTGTTGGAAAGATGAGGAATATCCACCAGCAGAGAGGAACCTTGGCTTTCCCCAGGTTTGGTAGATGCTGAGGAGCTGCTGTTCCTGTGGGCTCCCCCATCTTCTCTGCTGTCCATAAGTAGGTTAAGGAGAAACCCCTGGAGACCTTTCTGCTGCTGGAAAGGGATGTGCGAGGAGCTCTTCTCTGAGCCCTGGGAGTTGTGCATTTCAGCACAGCAGCAGAGAGCAGAAATTGCTGCAGAGGCCACGGGAGAGCCTGGGGTGCCCTCGTGCCTTCATTACCCTCAAGAGCTCTGAATGACTCTGGCTCTGTCTGTCCACATCCTGATTAAAATCCCAGTCTAATGAGCTGTTGACTCCAAATAAAGGCAGGGTGGGAATAAACAATGAGGAGGAGCTGGCTGCTGCTACTGCCCCAGTGGAAGGCTCAGTGCAGGCAGGCAGCCAGCAGTGATATAACCCGAGCAGGGCTGGGGACTGCTGACAAAACTGGGATACAGCTCAGCTCCCAGCCCACATGAGCTCATGCTGGCCCTGCATCGAGTCCTGGGCAGAGGGTGAAGGAGTTTGAACCTGTGTTAGCACCATGTTAACCCTTGGATTGCTGGGGGAGTGCTGCCTCCCTTGGAGCACAGCGTGGCCTCCACAGCTGGAGCAGATGTTGTCTTGGAGAATCCATCTGTGTTTATAGGGAGGAAATGAGGGTTCTTCATCTCAAAATAAGAGTTTGGGAGTGAGAGCAGAGCAGGGAATGGCTCCAGACTGAGGGACTGGGTTTAGGTGGGATATTGGGTGGGCAGGCCCTGGCACAGGGTGCCCCTGGATCCCTGGCAGTGCCCAAGGCAGGTGTTTGATCACCCTGGGACAGTGGAAGGTGTCTCTGCCTTGCCAGGGAGATCTTTAAGGTCCCTTCTAACCCAACCCAAATTCAACAAAAGTGGACCTTGAATTACTGGTTTGAAATAGGGAAGTTCTTTATTTTAGCAGTAGAACTTGGTCCCTCTTGCTGCCTTGTTTTCTGTCTTAATGTGAAGCTGATTGCACTGGGAAGAGTTTGTCACCCTCAGGAGTGTCCCCACCTTGGTGGCTCAGGCTGTGCCAGCCCTCTGAGCAGCACAATGAGATTGAGGTAGATTTTCAGTGCAGGATTTGAGTAGCTTTGATAAACTCAAATAACTGAGTGTTGTGCTGTCCTGGTGTTTGAGGCTGGATACTGGCTGAGGATGTTGGTCTCATTCCAGAATCTGGATAAATGGGCATCTCAGTGGGCAAAACCTGGATAAACTCCTGAGGGATTCTCTTTTAAATACCAAACCATCAGCTTTTAAGAGCCTTGATGCTTGATTTTGCTAGCAGAAGTTCCAGCAGGTCCCTTCACCTGGACTTCTGAATGTTTTGGTTCTTCTTCAAGGAATTGATGCTTGAATTTCTGATGGAAATAAGGACTTGAGTTAGGAGGAAAAAAAATACCCTGGGTTCTGCTCAGTCAATCTGTTATCAATTTGAGATTTGTGTCACTTGGGTGTTACACTGGCACCTCACCAAGGGTTATCTCTGCTTTCTCTGAAACAGAGAGGACATGAGATCAGTAATTGCCTCATTCTGTGATGTGCTTGTTGTCCTTCACTGAAGAATTGGTGCTGAAGTGGGCTGGGTTTGGTGTTTTGTTCTGAAATGGGCTGGGTTTGGTGTTTTGTTTTGCATTCATCACCAGTTAGAGCCTGGTCCTGGGGTCTGTGAATGACCTGCAGTGACTGGGGCTGGTCCTGTGGCATTTTAGGGATCAGGACACTGATTTCCACCCCTGCAGGTGTCAGAAACCCAACCCCAAGCAGGTGGAGTTGCAGACCCTGGGGCTTTGGGCTGTTGCAGTGCCATTTGCAGCAGCCAGGCTGGTGCAGGTGCTGCCCTTGGATCTCAGCATCAGCTCTGGTGCTGCAGCTGTAAATGGGGTTCCAGGGTTTAGTTTTAACTGGGTTTTTAGTGCTGTCTGGAGGGATTTGTGCTGTGTTTTTACCCAGAATTGTCACTTCACACTCAATGTGTACCCCTCTCCAGGGCCACAGAGCTCAGTCCACCATCAGAAACAAACTTTTGGTTAAGCTGCAGCTCAATAATTTCCCCTCACCTCTGTTGTGGTGTGGCTGAATCGATCTGAAGCCTTCCCCTGCTCGTCACCCAAGTGCACTGGCAGTTTTTGGGTTGTGGTGGGGCTTTTTTGGGGTTCCTCACGCTGATTTGTGCCTCTGTTCCCTGCAGGTGTACATCATCAAGGTCACCTGGTCCAATGGAGCCACCGAGGTCATTTACAGACGGTACAGCAAGTTCTTCGACCTGCAGGTGGGGAACCCTGTGGGGGCGACAGGAGGGCTGGGGATGTGACTGGAGGGCTGGGGGTGTGACAGGAGTGAGTGCTGGGGATGCTCCTGGGCTCTACCTGGAGGGGATGAGAGTCTGGGATGGGGCAGATGCTGCTCTCAGCCCTGTCCCTGCCCTGCAGGACACCTGAGTGAGGGGCTGTGAGCCCGCTGAGGTAACAGCTCAGCCTGGCTGGCCCAGCCCTGGCAGTGCAGGGGTTAAAGCTGCGAGCAGCCGCTTGTGTAACCAAGGAAATATGAAAGTAAATAAATAAGGAACAGCTGTTGGGCAGCAGCCAGGGCTGGAAGGAAATGGAACTCGTGCTTCCTTCTCTGCAGCATCTCCTCTTCATGGTGCTCCGGGCTCATTCCTCTGGCTGGGGCACAGAATTTGGGGTGTCTGTGCCCCCAGATTCCTTTGGGGTGTCTGTGCTGATTCCCTGGGCTGGGGAAGGGCTGTGGGGAATCCTGGCTGTGCTCCTCCATCCCTCCCCTCCATCCTGGCTAGAGCTGTGCACAATCCTTGAAAAATGTCACAACTGGAGTCAGGCACTCTGCAAAACACCTTTAGAGGCAGTTTATATCCTTTATAAATACATATAGATGTGTATCGTGGTGGAGGTGGGAAAGTTTAAGGCAAACATCTCCTCCCTTTGGTGTTCCCTGCAGTTTTGTCTTTAAAAAAAAAGAAAAAATATTAGAAAAATGAAAAAAAAATACTATAGCAGCCACTCCTTTTTGGCTCTGTTGAAAGAATGAAAGAAGCTGTGGTTTTTCCCTTCCTTCCCCCTTATCACACATGCTTCCTGGTGTCCTTGTTTTAAACTCGTGCTGCAGGACAGTGCAAATTGGATTGGGAGGTGAGGAGTGAAACAGATCCTCTGAGCACACTGGAAAAAAATGCTCTGGGTAGGCTTGGTGGCATGACTGGTGCCATTGCTGGAGGCCTCTCTTGTGTGACTCTTGCATGATTCTGGGCCAGTTTTAGCTCTTCAGGCAGAAGTTTTCCATGCTGGAAATTATTCATGCCTCTGGTTATTTTAAAAAAAGGGAAAATTCCACACAGCCCCCCACCAAAATGAGTGTGGGACTGAAACGCTTCAGCTGCTTCTGAAAACAGCAAGAGAGGAAAATATTTTTCCTAGGTCTAGTTCTGATGATCTTTTTGATGTGCTGGAGGGAGAATTGGAAATTTGAGCTGCAGGTGAGCTCTGTGTCAAGAATCTGTCTGTCATTATTATCCAGGGAAAACCCATCCAGGCTGATTCAGGCTCACAGCCTTGAGCAGCCCCAGTACGTGCCTGTTGGGGTCAGGATATTTGTTCATTTAATACCAGTGTTCCCAGTGGCTCTGGCTGCATTTTCCATGCTCCTGCCAGGGGCTGAGCAGGGTTTGTTTTTGAAAAGAGCAGGGGAAAGGTTGGTGCACCCTCCTTGGCTGTCAGGGATGTGGAAAATCCTGGATCCAAGTGGGAGAGAGGAGCCTGGTGGGGCTGGGGAGATGCTGCAGCCCCGTGGGGTGACTGGGGAGTTCCTCCTGGTGTTCCCAATGAATCCACAGCTGAATCATTGGTCACCTTCCATGGTGGCTGAACAATTATTGCAGGAGCAGGGCCAAGGAAAACACGGAGAGTGCTGAGAGCAGAGCCAGGGGAAAAGTGTGCTCCCCATCCCAGGCAGGCAGGAGGACACTGCAAACACAGACTGAGCAGGAGTGAAGCCTGCAGGCTGGATCCACAGGATCCTGGAGGCTGGAAAAGAGCTCCAAACTCTTGGTGTGCCCCATCCCCACCTTGTCCCCAGCCTGGAGCTCTGAGTGCTCATTATCATCTACAAAGATATTCAAAGATACAAATTCAAAGACACAAATCTTTAGCAATTAGAAGAGAGAACAGGCTGCCCAAAAGATGTAATACCCATGTAGAACTTGGCACTTCTTAGGATACGTTGGTTCAAGGTAGATACTCAAGAAACCTTGTTCTAAAACTGCTCATTGAGCACTAAATCCTCCAGGTGCCACTTCCAGGTTACATCTCCAGGGATGGGCTCTCCAAATCTCCCTGGGCAGT